CTGTAATGTACATTCTCAAGTCCAAACTTCCTGACTTTAACATATATTCGTACTGTAATGTACATTCTCAAGTCCAAACTTCCTGACTTTAACATATATTCGTACTGTAATGTACATTCTCAAGTCCAAACTTCCTGACTGTAGTTTAAATTCTTACTGTAATGTACATTCTCAAGTCTGAACTTACTGATTGTGAGATATGTTCTTACTGTAATATACATTCTGCAGTCCAAACTTCCTGACTGTAGTTTAAATTCTTACTGTAATGTACATTCTCAAGTCCAAACTTTCTGACTGTAGTTTAAATTCTTACTGTAGTGTATATTCTTTAGTCTGATATTTCTAACTCTAACGTGTTTTTCTGGATTGTAGAGCATTCGAGTGTTTGATATTGAATCCAAAGTGACTATTTCCTTGATTAGAAAGGATCATGATCCTCAGTAAGTAACTTTGAAGCAACATAAGCTATATTTGATGTGGAAATTTGTATATACGTGTATGCCAGAAATTTATGTGGTAGCATAGAATATACAGTTTTGTGACTGAAAGTACTGTTTAGTTTAATTACTAATATTAATTCAAAAAATTAACAAAGGTATCCTGAAAAGGTCTAACAACTACTTGCGTAAACAACATCATTCTAAGTTCATAAAACTTTTAATCTTACAGCTACATTTTGGAGCTTGTAAAAGACAGTTGCCATTTGTGACCAGTATCGTTTATATTACACAGTATATCACATATTTCAAGATTTATCTTGGTATATGTACAGAGACATCTCAAAAGTAAATAGACACCATGATGTTTATTCAATAGTCAGTTAATTATGAAAGGTATCCAACGGCTCCCATGGCCAAGTCAGTCACCTGATACGAACCCCATCGAGCATGTCTGGGCCATACTTGTTTGAGCAGTAAGAAGAAGTTCCAGAAAACCAGCATCCCGTGGAGAGCTGCTTGATGTTTTGCGTGCAGCCTGGGTCAAGATCCTCCCGGAGAAAATTGTAGAACTCATCGATTCCAAGCCAGAACGAGTCAAAGCACTGAAAAATGCTAGTGGCAAATCAGCTAAGTACTGATGTACATTTGTAAACATTTTTGTCAAGTTGATAATGTGAGATAAATGACTATTGAAGAACATCATGATGTCTATTTACTTTTGAGATGTCTCTGTACATGTAGAATAGTAGTTACCTTTTTTTAAACTCCTAAGACCTAGACTTAATGTATTCTTTTTTTCTCAAAAATACAAAAATGTTATAGACTGCTGTAATGGCACAAATTGTGATGAGGTTTTGTGATTTTTTTTTTTATGAAGCTACATCTTTTGTACCCAACCAACAAAGAATGATATTTATATGTACATATAACTAAAGTTTGAGATCAGAGTCATTGTGTTTAAGTAAGAAAATGTTATCGGTAACATACTGTGTAAGGAAAGTTGCATATATTGGATTATTTTCATGTGTTAAATCTTATGTTAATAATGTTCACATTTTCTTCAAAATATCAGATCCTTAACTGATAACTGTATGTGTAGTAGTGGTGTCATATTTTTGATATGTAAAGCATGCTGACAAAACTACAAGGACAAAGTGACCAATGTTTTAGTTAAGTTTAATGAAACAGCCAAATTATGAAGGGCTTTTTTAAAAAAAATCAAGTTTAATGAAATGTATTGGAAAACCAAATAATGAAGTAACTTTGAAAATTTCAAGTTAAGTACAGCAACAAGATGATAAAATTAGACGTGGGAAGGTTAAGAATAATGTATTTTCATAGCGTAGATTATAGAAAAACAGCATTCCAGTTATTTATTTTCTAAAACTTTTTTAAGATAATTAGTGCATCTTAGAATTTGTAATATTAACCCTCTGTGCACAAGTGGGGGTTAAAGTGTTACCATTTTACTCTTCTTTGCTGATTTAGCAACAGGTTGTGGTAGAGGAGAGTAAATACTGGATACAGTTTACAGGGATACTGACAGAAACTGCATTTCAGAAATAAATACTGGATACAGTTTACAGGGATACTGACAGAAACTGCATTCCAGAGGTTCTAGAGGATATGAAAGTGTAATATACAAACTGTACAATGGATAAAAGTATTTTTATTGTTCACATGAATGTCACCTTGCACTCTTGACTTATCAGAATCTGAGTCAGTCCAACATCATCTTAAGTACAAATTCTTTTGTAAAACATCATTTACATTCTGTTAATAAATACTTATTTTTCTTTGGGTAGGCTACGTCCTGAACTTTATCGATGTAATATGTTTTGGAAGGATGAAAAGACACTTCTAATTGGCTGGGCAGACAGAATAAAGGTCTGTGTTGTTCAGAAACGTTCTCCAGCTGAGCCTGTATCAAAGGACCTTCCATGTCATTATGTACAAATTGGTTAGTTAAACTTTTTGAATTTTTTAAACTGAATAACCACACTATAACCAGAATGAATCTATCTGTATGTAGATTCAACAGCATTTCTTTTACAGTCAGTATGTGAAATAAATTTTAGAACATAATCTTTTTTAAGTAATATGTCTACATCTGTTATAACCCACCTACAG